TCTTTATCAATTTCAAAGTCGGTGAATTGTCTGGGGTTTAGCATCTCGGCAAACAAGAAGCTCTCAGATTAACTTCATCAAACCCTGTGCAGGTATTGCTTGATTCAGGAGAAAATAAATTATTACGAAAGAAAAAATCAAAAAATGCCTCAGTAATAAAATAATAAGCAAGATATATTATCAAACCTGTTCATTGAGCTCTTGGAGTTGCATATCAATCAGACACTTAGAAACATTTCAACATGGAACCTTGGTGAAGATTCTTTACTTTCACAAAGTAACGTTTTGGTCTCCCCAACTTGTCATAAAAACCATCCATATCGTTGAACCTTGACTCGATGTTTAACACAAAAAGATGTGACATTCTTCGTAAAGGTTTCCCATTCATTGTCCTCTCAGGGGCACTTGCAAATGGAACTTAGTCATCTCAACAAGTTCAATAGCATTAATAATGTCTTGATCCTTTTTTGCAAAGCCTTGCATAACTCATCTGATATCCAAATATGGTCCGCTATCCAACGTGTGCTCATGAATATAAAGTCAAATGACTCAATCTCACAAGCAATTTTGAGCTTTTATACCCTTAGATTGAGATTTATCTTTTGAGATCTTCCCAAGAACTTTCCGGAGTGTGGGATACATAGCAATAATACTTAAGAAATAGTCTTGTAGTGAGGTTCCCAGAGATGCTCTCCCCAGGCCTATCCAGATCCATCTCTTGATTTAAACCTTGTCCTGCACCAATTTCACCCTATTCTAAAGCTTCAAAACCTCCAGTTCTGTGTCTTTTCTAAGCATGTGATGCTTTCTACAAGAAATCCAACAACATTCAAAATATTTGATCAGTTGATCAAAAAGTTGTCTCAGGCTCATCATTTTGTTTGGCAACAAACAACAAGAGTCAATTGGAGTTGGTGCAAAAGCAGGAATACAAGATAGTATGTTTGACTCATGAGATTCGTCCATGATTTTTGTTTTCATGGCCTCATTGAATTCCCCTTCATATTACTAGCTCCATCATATCCTTGACCACGACATTTAGATAATGTCAATTTGTGCTCCATAAGAAGAGACACTATTGCATCTTTTAGTGTTGAAGAAGTAGTATCCGGAACATGAACAATACCAAGGAATCTTTCTCAGGTATTCTCGTTTTTGTCAACATACCTTATGCAAAGAAAAGCTAAAGTGCCCTTTTGGTAAACATCACTAGATTCATCGGCCAAGTATAGAAAAGTAGTCATCTCTAAGATCTTCAATAATAAGTTTGCTAGTTTGTTGGCTCAGTCCGTCCATGATATCTGAGGCTTGTATGGAATGGGCAACTATCGACAATTCTTGGGAGCATTCGTCATGGCAAAACCTTTCTAACATCTTCAAACATTTCACCCAACCATTTTCTGGAGTTCCTTAAAATTCTACTGCATATTGCTAGATGTGTCACTTTCATCATGTCCCGTCTTGGCTCTGCCCGACTTCACAGTCCCGTTTCACATCAAACAACCAATTGAGTAGGTTACGGGCTTATATTTAACTTTTTCTTAGTGGTGTGCAATGTAAGTACTTCAGTTTGATGCTCTTGGCCTAATGAAATTAGTAAATTTCTCAAGAGCTTCATTGTGGTGCTTGTAATGCTTCCAACATGCAAGTCAAGTTTTGCTGCAAGCAGAATTTTCTAAACCCACTATTCACAAAAGCATCACTCACAACATAATTAGCGCCTCCATACCGCCTGGCAGCAAACAAATAACAAACAAAGCTTGGGCTTCAGTACATCCTTTTGTATCGCACTCAAGCCAATCATACTTGTCAAACCATCTAACCCGGAAAGCGGTCTTACCACCAATTTGTCATTGTGGAAAATTATATGTCCTTGGTTGGATGGCCCTTTTGCAATATATCCTCTTCTCTACTGCATCTTGCTCATTGGCGCGCCTATTGGATGATGGGGATCCTCTCCACCGATCACATGGGGAAGATGATCAACATCATAAATTCCCTCTCTTGGCTCTTGTTCCTCATGTATTTCTTCGTCACTAGGATTTTCAGGTCTTGCTTCTTGATCTTCCATCTCCTGTGTCTCATGTATTTCTTCCTCACAAGGAATTTTAGGTCCTACTTGCCTGATCATGAATAATTAGTTGATTTGGAGTGGAAGAAGACACCTTTTGTGCTTTCTGTTTCCAGAGCATGAGCATTCCATAGAGATGCAAGATTGTTATTCCTCTTCATGCTACTTGATCCTTGATGTTCCGCCCTCTGCAATAATCGGTCAAATTAGAAGAGGACTTCCGTGGACTAGAACTCATTATTGATGGGTATTCCAAAAAAATGATTGATCGTCGTCGATCACCTTAGAACAAGATTGAATTTTTCCCTTTCAACTTGTCAATTTGGCAGCAGCAACAGTCGTGTAAGTTGTTCATGGATCAGGTGTTTCGTCTTCACGGCCTGCCCAAGTCTATCATCAGTGATCGTGACAAGATCATCACAAGCTCCTTTTGGCAGTTGCTATTCAAAATGGCTGGCTCCACTCTGCGTCTTAGCTCCTCCTACCATCCGCAGACGGACGAGGAAGGAGAGTTGTAAATAAGTGCCTCGTCATTTCTTCGCTGTTTCGGCAAGGTGCTTATTATGGAGTCGTTATGTTTGCGAAATGGGCTGCAACACGTTTCCAAATGGGCTGCAGCTGGGCCTAGAAAGAGTATTATACATATACAAGATATTAAAGAATATATATACTTAAGATTTTTTTTTTCAGAAATTTTGGGGGGGACAGCTGTACCCCCATGCTACTACTGTAGATCCGCCCCAGCAGCACCTACAAAGAGCAAAAGACCGGATGAAGAAGCAAGCAGATAAAGGCCGGTGTGAGCGCTCATTCGCTGTGGGCGACATGGTTTACCTCAAGCTTCAACCTAAGGTTGCAGTAAGCTCGGTTCTCCTTGGTCCGCCGTTCAAACAACAAGCTCTGCTTCCGTTTCTTTGGGCCATACAAGATCATCGCTAAGCTCGGTTCTGTGGCATACAAGCTGGAGCTGCCACCGGGCGCTACCATTCACCCGGTGTTTCATGTCTCACAACTGAAGCTGTCACCGGGATCCCAGCAGGTATCCGCCGCCCTGCCTACTGACTTACTGCCATTTCAGGTTCCTGTTCGTGTGCTTCATCGCCGCTGGTCATCTGGTGATCAGCCTGTGGAGCAAGGCTTGATCCAGTGGTCTTAATTGCCACCCGAGCTCGCGACCTGGGAGCCCCTGACCGCGCTGCGCCAGCAGTTCCCACGCGCGCCGGCCTGGGGACATGCTGGTTCCAAAGGGAAGGGGAATGTCAGCAACCTGAACCACTCCGACTCTGAAGAAGCGGCTCCATCAGGCTCGCCGTCCGGCTTGCCCGCTGCTACTCCTCCTACTCGGCCCAAGAGAGTCCGCAGGCCCAACCCACTCTACAACGTCCCAGACTGGAAGGCTTAGTCTGCTATATGTACTGCGAGTGAGAGTGAGTTGAGGGCATGATGAAAATTGTAACAGATATTCAGTTTTAATTCAAGTACTCCTACCGTATCTTCTCCTGTTCTTCTTCTTTCCCCCTCCCCAAGCATCCTTCCCTCACAAAACCCCACATTCCATATTCGCGTTGTGTTTGATAATCTATAGAAAACATGAAAAGTTACAAGAAAACATTAGGTTCAAGAAAAACCACTATGGGCTGTGGGCTGTGGCTGGTGCACATTTGTTTGTCCATGTAACCACTTGACAGGTGCTTCAAGTGTGATGGTTGATGAAGTCCAGTTCCAATCTATGACGCTCCTCTCGTGCTCGTGATGAATGACGACGGCATTTACATGTGCAGCACAGCGAGGCCGCTGGCGCCTTGCACATTCTTACGATCAAACGGCCAAAATTCGCTCACATGCCACGAGCTTGGCAGGCCGTGCCGCCGAGCAGAGATGAGGTCCCCGGCAAGAGTGACAACTCGCTGTTCCTTTGTGTCTGAAAGCTCTTGCAGCGCCAAACTGCCAATCTGCCATGGTCCATGGAGCCAGAGGAAGTCAAAATCCCTTGACAGATCGGATGACGCTTTCACCTTCTGGGAATATGGGAATATTAATCTTTCCCGTGTAGAGTAGTAGTACATTTGTTGCTCTGGTGGACGAGGTCCTCATAACAAGTTGAAGCCTAGCCAAACCCAAATATACGCAAGCAACGTTTTTTTTAAGAATAAAAAAACCCACGCAAGAAATTTACAAAGCAACCATGGGGCGTTGCAAACGCCGTGCCACTGGGCGTGGTTGCTGCTGCTGGGCTTGGCGCTACGTTTGGCGTCGCGTAGTCGCGTGGCACTGGCATCGAAGGCCGCGATCCACGAAGTCAAACGGGAGCTGCACGTCTGCTGCAGCGTGCCACCGCCCCCACCTACAGCGGCCACGGGGTCCGTGTTTCCCATGGGCACCGAGACCTGTGAAAGTTCAGCGGCCGAAAGCGACGCGCACCGCCCCCGCTTCCACTCGACCACTCCCACCCGGAAAACGAAGCCAAAAAAGCCACGCTCTCGCCACCGCCGCCGCTTCCGCTTCCGCGGCCACCGTCCCTTCCCTCCCTCGCAGGCTCCCACGCCCATCTCCGCCGTCACCACTGGCCCCGTCGCCGCCACTGTCAACTCAGCGGAGCAGCTCTCCTCCTCAAACTCTCGCGGTGTCTCGCTTGCTTACCTTCCTCCGCTCCGCTGCAATCCCACTCCTGATCCGGGCTCCACCCGGAAGTGCCCACGCATTTTGGTCTCTAGTGCTTGGAGCCTTCTCGGTTGCACCAAATTTGGCCTTTTTAGGTGGGTGGGGAGCTCCGATCTTTTCAGCTACAGCTTTTATTTTCCTGTTTCTTGGTTGGGTTTCTGCCACAGATTTGCTCATCTTGGGCTGGGACGATTACCGCTGAGCCGTCCTCCCCATATACTGATCAGATGAGTTGTGGGTGTCTCCTCCCAATCCGAGATTGCAGGAGATGGTTGTAGCAGTAGCTTCGTCCCAATCTTCCTCCACGCCCCTGTCACCTTACCCGTCTTCGCCCAGCCTCCGTGGCTTCATCAGGGACGCCCCGCCTTACAGCACCCAGACCCCGCCGCAGGTGCAGAGGGCTGGTGTCGGTGGTGGTGGTGGTGGCGGCGGCAATGGGAAGATCAGCCCTGCGGTGCTGTTCATCATAGTGATCCTTGCGGTTATCTTCTTCATTTCCGGGCTGCTCCACCTCCTTGTGAGGATACTGATGAAGAAGCAGCACGGCCGTGGTGCCGCCATGGGGGAGTCTGCACCATCGCCGCACCGGACAGGCGCGCGGGACGCGGCAATGGACCGGCAGCTGCAGCAGCTGTTCCATCTGCACGACTCTGGGCTCGACCAGGCGTTCATCGATGCGCTGCCCGTGTTCGCGTACCGTGAAATTATCGGTGGCAACAAAGAGCCGTTCGACTGTGCGGTGTGCTTGTGTGAATTTGATGGGGAGGACAGGCTCAGGCTGTTGCCGGTGTGTGGGCATGCCTTCCATCTGCAGTGTATAGATACATGGCTGCTGTCCAACTCGACATGCCCGCTTTGCCGTGGCACACTCTTTGTCCCCGGGATGACTATAGATAACATGATGTTTGATGATTTTGATGAGAGGTTGGAAGAGGAGCCTCTACCAGAGGAGTGTGAGGATGGACACCAAGTTTCCAGGCACAAACCCATGGATGAGGAGCAGCCAGTGGCCGAGAAGAGGGTGTTTCCAGTAAGGCTTGGGAAGTTCAAGAATGTTGGAAATCAGGGTGCCATCGGTGGTGTGGTTGGCAATGGCAATGAAGCTGGTATAGTGAGTAGGGAGGCAGGGGAGAGTAGCAGTAGCAGCTTGGATGCAAGGAGATGCTTCTCCATGGGCACTTACCAGTATGTTCTTGGGGCTTCTGAACTTCGAGTGGCTCTCCAGACAGATCACGGCAGAAACGGTGCAAGCAGCAGGTTTAAAGGAAGAGTTGCAGGCTTAAGTTCTGTCAATGCTGACATTATGGACGGCAAGAGGATTTGTGCTAGGAGCAAAGGCGAGAGCTTCTCTGTGTCGAAGATTTGGCAGTGGTCTAGTGTGAAGGGCAAGCTGCCAGCTCCTCCAGACACTTGTTCAGATACTGGGAGCCTACCATGGATGAAAAGAAACGCTGCTGGAGATAAGTCTAATATGTGACTCTGTGTATAGTCCTTTTTTTTCTTCCTGATGTTGGCTGCTAAGTTGCTTAGCTCTAGCTATTTCATCTGATTTAGGGTGTTTCAACAATCATTCATCAAGGGATAATTTTTGACAGGCTTGCTATATTGCACATAGTTTGTGATTGTTCACAATGGTGTAGTCTATATTCCTGTGTTGTTGGTATTCCAGGAATTCCATTCAGAAGCCTATCATCACTATGAAGTATCAATTTATACTCTATTTGTGTTATCGATTCTACAATTTCCTACTTGAATGTAAGTATGTAACTATCAAACATGAGACAATATTAGTATTAGCCTACAATGTGATATATGTCTAGACCATTGCAGTTATTAATCTGCAACTTCCTTAATAAACTTTCTATTAGTTATTACAGTAGCATTTTCAAGTTCTGAATGAACTTGACCATGGTAGCCCTATTATTATTTTTTTTTTGCAAACTGTGTAGAAGTATTATTATGGTTATAAGTTGTTAGAAGGATGGCACATACATTGGTAGTTTGTGAGGCATCCTTCTTGAAAACATACATTTCTGAACAAGGAGTCTTCCTTAACACAAACAGCTAGAACAAGAAGAGGAGTTGGTATGACAAATGACATGTAGTTGAAGAAGTAAAATGGAGTTCTGTGACATCATTGTTTAAATTCCGTGGGGGGTGCTAGGGTGGGTGGGGGAGGGTGAACCTTTAAGCTTGTTATCTTCTATAAACTGTGGCCGGACTGTAAAAATTGTATATTATTTACTACTTACTGATGTGATAAGTAATATGCTTTTGACCTGTGACTTCACGTCCAAATTACCTCCTCTTTTTTGCTTTCTCACCTTTAAGCATTCGTATCTTAACTTCTAGAGCAACCTCTCTTTCAATAATCTCCTATTGCTCACATGGAGGAACGACAGTTTCTTTTTTTATTCATATAACAACGCATGATACTTTTCTTTGTCCCTGCACAGTCCCAGATGATTGATACGGAAGTTAACCTTTCTACTTCACCGCAACAAATGTGGATTATTTAAGATATGATGGCAGTAACTGTCTAAGATTGCAGTAACAGTTAAGATTGCGATTTGGTTTTGCCCATGCCATTGTGAATTTTGAAAACCATCTGAAATAACATTTGAGTGATGGGCTCGGTTTGATTAATTTTCTTGTGAAACTTAGCATAGATGTTGCTATTATACTGTCTTTTTTTTTAACGTAATGGCAGGAGCTCTGCCTTTCAATTAAGAAGGGTAAAGAGGTTTATGTACATAGCAAGAGGGGCATTGCCCCCACTAGGATTACATGATGCCTCCTGAGATATTGCCCCCTCCCCAAGCTAAAGCCCTCTTTCTTTGCTCGATATCCTCTTTTACCCTTAATGCCACTTGCATACTGTCTTTTTTTTTATCATTGCTATTATACTGCTCTTGCTTTTGTTACATTTTAACAATTATTATTGTCTTAGTCTGTCCATCTGGTCAATGCAGCATGCCTGCAAGTGTTGGTGCATCGACTCAAGATTGCGCTACCTTTTTGCTTATCGCACCAGGTGGTGGTGACTAGGTTTCTAAAGTGGATGGCAGCTTTGTCCTCATACAATATTAGTATTCTAATGCACTAAGTAGTACCGATAGCTGATAGAAGGTCCGTAGTAGCATGGAAGCTTGTATGCTGCTTATTTAATCATAACCAAAGGAAGAAGTGCCAGCCATCACATACCTGCACTAAGCAACAGGCATTATCGACAGGATTCCAGCATATTGCTTGAGTGATCTTAGCTAGGAAATCATTGGTTTGCAAATGATTTTCTGTCCTACCTGATAGTAATACACAGCTCATGCAATCATTAGGAAGATGCTAATCTGGCAGCATTATTGTTGACATCATTGTTGCGGTTGCTGCTATTTGATCTCATATCAGATACTGTGATGCCTGGTTTGAGATTGGTTCCTTGGAAAGGCATCATATTCTGGGCCAATTCTCGCAGGCTTACGTTGTTCTTCAAAGACCGTATCCTACAGTCGTTGTCTCTCAGAAACAGTATCTTGGCAATGGGAGCTGAAATGCAGATGGCAGCTTCTTTTTGAAGCCCCAACCTGCTAGCACAGCAAACTGCTTCTTTGCAATTTGTTTTTGAATAAACTGAAGCTTCTTTTTGTAGCTGGTATGATGGAGTTTCTTCAGCTGTATCTTCTCCTTGTACAGCACTGAATTGAGACACCAGGATAAAACTTCAAGGGCTCGTTCCATGCATGATTGAGATGGGCAGAGCATGGCATGAAATGAAAGCAACAGATGTGGGTCATGCTCATGAAGGAGATAGGAGGATCACTACTACATACACTGAGACCATGATCAGCCTATATGATATTGTTCTTTTGTCTTGATGACTTAAAATCCAGGAGGTCATCAGATGGGCAGGATTGGTTGTCTGGCCTTTACTAGCTGGCATTCGATCCACCATCCATTACGGCATGAAGTGTGTATGGTATCAGTTGCAACCTATACCCACCAAGGAGTGTCTGATAGAGGAGCTTGTGGAGCTTTGGGCTGGATGGGCATGGCAGCATCAGGGACTCCATACTTTAGTCCGTGATACTCTGAATCCCAAGGCTGTGGCATGATCCCCGTGATCATGCACAGTAATGAAGGCCGTGCTTGACCATCTAATCACACAGCCTAAGAGTCAAAGTTACCGTTGACAGTTTGACACCAGCGCTATAAAAGCGATTGGCCGTTCACGTGGAAGGCAAGATTATGACGAGACCTGATGTCGAAGACGACTTGTTCATCAGTAGCAGGTGGATTCGGGGAGGTGCTCCGGTGCTGGGAACACGCGCTCGACGAAACCACGGGTGGCCTGCCGTGTACTTGTTGGACCAGAAACCAAGAAGTCCACGGCCGCAGCAAAGCGTCCAGAAGAACGCCTCCCTGCAAGGTTTTCCCATCCGTGCGTCGCAATCAGTCCCAGCTGGCAACACGGCAGGCTTTCGCACCTAGAATTAGAATTCGAATTGTTTTGCTTGCTCTAGCTAATCATGCAAGTTTCCGGCCCAACTCCTCCATCTTGGAAGGAAACAATGCCTAACTGGCGCGATCACGACATTTCAAAAAAAAAAATTTGCAGTAATTTGTGCACTTCATTTCAATTGTTGGGACAAAATTGGGACAGGATGAACGGATTCATTACAGCAGCAGTAAAATGACAATGAATGTAATAGCAATCTCATTTTTACAGTGGCTAACCAATCAATCAACTGAACGGACGCAGGGGAGGAAGGAATTGTTTGTAGCAGCGATCTCGCTCACCGTTCACACGCACACGCCCGCGGAATCGTCGAATCTATCCATCCAATCCAAGATGAAAGGGACACCTTTTTTTTCTGAGATAGTTTCGACATCCTTCTTTGACCAATCATTCAGCGTTCCTCCTCTGCTCCGATCCGATGACCGATGGGGCAAGTCCACGGGGGGCGGTCAGGTCAGGCCCGGCCGGCTCCGTCGTGGGGCGGCAGCGGCGGCGGGTTGAAGAGCGGCGGCGCGTCGCGGCCGCCGAGGTCCATGGACGACTTGGCGGAGGCCGGCGGGGCGACGAAGCGCGCGGAGAAGTCGCGGTAGCCGGTGTAGTCGCCCTCGGGGCTGGCGCCGTGGCCCTCGTCGAAGTTGAGCTTGTAGCTGAGCGCGTCGTAGTTGAGCTTGCGGCCGCCGAAGTGGTGGTGCGGCCGCGTGGGCGGGCCGCTGCGGCCGAACCGCCGGATGAAGGTCTTCCACCGCGGGCCGGCCACCAGCTCCGACCACTCGCGCACCTTGAGCACCGCGTCCACCGCGCGCTGCCACCAGGTCTCCTCCTCCGCCGCCGCGGCGCCGCCGCCGACCCGCTGGTGGGAGGAGGAGGAGGCGGGCCAGGGGAAGCAGCAGCACCGGCGGCCCCGGCGCGCGAAGAAGGCCGCCTCCGCCTCGTCCATGCCCGCGGCGTCGGTGTCCATCGCCCGCCGGAGAGTCGTGCGGCGCGGGCCCGGAAAATCCTCCCCTCCTGCGTTGGCTGGCTCAGGGGGGCCGCGGCGCGCGGCGGCTGGAGAGTTTTCGGGTGGATCTTTTTGGGGGCTCTTCTTGGCCTCTTGGGCTGTGCCGTGTGTGGACGTGGGGTGGTTTTTATCGGGAGGTGGTTTCGACGCGGCCGCGAGAGGAGTCAACGGTTGGCGCGGCTCGCTGACGTGGGCCGGGAGCCGCGGGCCCGGGGCCTCGCAACGTTCGCAAACCCGTTGCGCTTACTTTTTCTCTCCAGATTCTTACGGAGTATAACGGATCGTGCAGGCAAAACATGGCATCGTCGGTCGTGGATGGGTACTTGGATTTAGCCCTGTATAAACTTCTGAAAATAAATTGCAGGAGCCCTTCAGGGGGAAAAGTATATATGCGAGTTGGCCCATCATAAAAAGTTAATTAAAAACATATAAATTCACACCATATTATCGTTCTCGCTGATGTGATGTGATTATCTGAAGATGCCAGCTGGTTCTGTGTACTACTAATATTCCTGCATTTACACGACCACACGTGGAGGCAGCAATGCTTGGCCGTAATCGACCGTGCGTCCGTGCGCCCGTGCGCCGTGCAGGAGCCTCGGCGTGGGGCGGAGTGCCGGAGTGGATTGGAAGGACAGCGCGGGCACAGATCGGCGGCGAAGCTGGCGGTTGCGCGGCTCGCGTCAGTACAGGTGCAGTTGTTGTCGCCGGGCTCGACGTGCCATTTGCATTTTGTGATCCCTGCCCTGCTGATGCCCGGACGTGCCAGCTGGCGTCATCGCATGCAGCTACGCGACGCCTGGCGCCGACGTTTGCACACTACATTATTGAATAGCTGGCACTGGCAGTGCCTGAACTGTACTCCGTATGTGACGCTTGTTTAGTTGGACCCCAAAGTCTAAAAAGTTGCTACAGTACCTGTTACATCGAATGTTTGTGGCCCGTGCATAGAGCATTAAATGTAGAC